AGTTATGACAGCAACATTCTCAATATGCAATTTGGTTACCATATCTTAAGAATTAAAAATAAATTATTGTACAATCATGGCGTTTGTTTGACAATTACATGATATAGGGATCTGATATATATGTGTCCATCAAAATAAACTATCGAGATTGAAATAAAGAGACCGACATACGGACAGACACGGATGGATGGCCAGACAGACAGGCGCGATTTGGATTCGTCTCATTACGCTGATGTACATACGAGTTTGTATGTATGTGTCTAAACCGCGTGTTCTTCCATTCTTTTTTCTGGGCGTTACAAACTTACGAGCCCTAACCACTATTAATTGGTACGGCAAGGTTTTTTTCGACAGTGCAACTTTCAATGACTCATATTTATTTGTAGGCGATGATTGCCCAAACATATTTATACTTTTTAAAAAGGTCATTGAATTACCTTTAATTTCATATCAAAACATGCACAAGTTTCATATCAACAAAATGAAAAAACTCAATTTAAATAAAACAACTTTCATACTACACGAAATATTTTGACCATTATTAATTGGTACGGCAACATTATTTTTCTTAAAAAAACGGTGAAAAATGTAAAATGTAAACAAAAACTGGACAAGTAACGGTAAATAGAATATTGTGATGAAGGAAAAGTAAAAACATATGACATTTAGTTGTAGTTTTAGTTTTATTCCCTGATTTATGAGCACGATGGCACGTGGCAAGCCAGTTTGTGAGGAAGTTCGAGCTAAAATTCTAAAAAAATTAAATTTGGGCAACAGCTATGGTGAAATATCGAAAAGTCTTATGCTTTCTAAGTCTACAGTTCAAAATATAGTGAAAAGCTACAGAAAGAATGGCAATATACACTGTAATACAGCGAACAGAGGTCGAGTCTCAAAAGTTACTTCGCGTGACAAAAGAAGTTTGTCGAGTATAATAAAGGAAAATCGGCGAAGTACTGTGAGAGATATATCGGCAAAATGGTCTGCAAAAATTGGGAAAACAGTGAAACGAGAATGGACTCGACAGCAAATGAAAAGAATTGGATATGGCTTCTATAAGGTATGATTGCGGTTCCTGCTTAGCATAACAGATAATTTTTTCTGTACAATTAATATATGTTGGTGTTTTTAGGCCAAAGAAAAACCATTGCTCACAGCTTTGCAGATGAAAAAACGATTGCTATGGGCAAGACAAAGGCAGAATTGGGAACAGAGGCGTTGGCATTCTATAATTTTTAGCGATGAATCCAAATTTGATGTGTGTGTCGGTGATGCTCGAAAACGAGTAATACGAAAACGTACGGAGGCATATCACAAAGATTGTCTTAAACGTACAGTCAAGTTTCCAACGAGCACAATGGTGTGGGGATGCATGTCAGCCAAAGGTGTGGGACAACTTTACTTTATAGATGGAACTGTAAATGCAGAAAAATACAAGTGTATCCTTCAAAGTAATCTCCTTCCATCAATACCAAAGCTTTCTGAGTGTGGGGAATATACCTTTCAACAGGATGGTGCATCACCACACACCGCAAAAACAACCAAAAATTGGCTTCAAGAAAATGGAATTGATGTCTTAGATTGGCCGTCATCAAGCCCAGATCTAAGCCCAATAGAAAACTTGTGGGCAATCATCAAAAGAAAGCTGAGGAATGACCCACAGCGTACTCTGTCAGGACTAAAATCAAAAATTCAGGAAATTTGGGATTCCATAACTCCAGAAGAATGCCTAAAATTAGTAAATACCATGCAGAAGAGAATTCAGGGTGTTATTAAAAATAAAGGAGATGTTACTCAGTTTTAATGAATATATAATGTTGCCGTACCAATTAATAATGGTCAAAATATTTCGTGTAGTATGAAAGTTGTTTTATTTAAATTGAGTTTTTTCATTTTGTTGATATGAAACTTGTGCATGTTTTGATATGAAATTAAAGGTAATTCAATGACCTTTTTAAAAAGTATAAATATGTTTGGGCAATCATCGCCTACAAATAAATATGAGTCATTGAAAGTTGCACTGTCGAAAAAAACCGTGCCGTACCAATTAATAGTGGTTAGGGCTCGTACACAACGAAAACAATATACAAATGTATGTAAATATTCCTACACTTTTCAGTGTACGTTCTACAAAGTATAATTAGTACAAATAGAATAATTATTTTACGCTGATACGAGTTTTGTCATTTTGTTGTAACAACAGCAATATATCGAGTTATGCACGTTGCGAGAGTTCTTGTAGAAATCATTAAAATATTTGAAGGTTTTGCTAAACAGAGCAATTCTTGCATATGGATTTTAAATGATTTTTACACGTGAGGGCTAATTAAATAAAAGCAAACAAGCGGCGTCGTTACTATTTCCGATTCCGGCTACATTAAGCAATTAGTCTTGCAAAAATTGTTTCGTTTAACGTCAAACGATTTTCTGCGTCACGATTCCTTGCACATTTAATTTTTCTTTAGTTGCTGTTTATCTCAGTTCTTATATACAGTGAAAACTGTCTTGGCCGGACACTAACGGTCGGCCAATATTTGTCCGCCCAAGGGGATACTTAAATACTTTATACACCGATCGAATGTTTTTAGAAAAAGTGTCCGCCGAAGAGAGTGTCCGGATAAAAGGGGCGTCCATTAAAGGAGTTTTCACTGTATATAGTATATGTTTATAAAGATTTATAATCTCAGGGAAAATTGGCTCAAGGTTTACCAAGATATTTGTAGGTTCTTCCATCTTCCCCATTTAATTGTTTAATCTGATATATATTTGGTTTTTTTTTTTTTTACTGCCAACCCACAGTGGTGCATGCCATTTTACCTTGCACGCGCAGCTGTGCCCCTTTTGCCCCTCCAAAAGTATAGGCCTAGGCCACCATACGCAAGAGCCACCCTTTTGTGCGCACAAATTCTGTCTGCGCTGCACAATTTCGAGTGGCGTCTGCCCCTCTGCGCCCCTCTGCCAACCAAATGGCAAAGCCGCGCCACACAAAAAGGGGAGCAAGTTTAAATGCAACGAGCAAAAATCAATGCACCCCAAAACAGGGGGTGGTTGCTTAGGATAGGCAGGGGGCAGGGTGCGTGGGGCGCTGGCATCAGTTGGCCCAGCTGCCACATTAAAAAATCCATTTGCCAAGTGTGTTGTTGCTGTTGTTGTATTGCTGGGGGAGGGGGAGTTGGTTACTGGCTGGTTGGCTTGTTTGTTGGCTGCTTGATGTGTGGGCGTTGCTGTACCGGCGCCGCTTTGCTTTATTAGATTGCTGTAAATAATTTTATGACTAGCGCCCAAAAAATCTCTTGGATGTAATAAAAAAATAGGATGTCATCACACCCCCATTAGGTAGCACCCACTTGGCTGAATTTAATGAGCCTTGGCAGCAGCAACTGATCTTCGTAATTGAAATTCTCAAGCAATTTCGCACTAATATGCGTCGCTTATTTTTATTTGCCCTTCTTCATTTATAATTACTAATGCATGTTTGTATGTGTGTGCGCCAAGCAGAGAAAGGGCGGCCATAGTCGTCACTTGGGTGGTGCTGGTGGTAATACGATGCGTGCGAGCAACTATTCTTATGAATGAATTCCTATGACTTCTTCATTTTCTAAAGACCCCCCGTCTCTGGAATGTATACTCTGCACTTAAAATTGTGAGGGTGTATGAGTAGTGCGATTGTGCATGTAACACACACAGAAGTAAACAGAGCAGATCCCATTTTATGGTATCCAATGTCAAATAGTGACAGACAGCAAGTCAAGCATCAGCTCAAGATCAAGTTTGTTTTAGATACACTCTCAAATATAACGTTAAAAACCGATCCGCAGAAGACTTTGTATTAAGTTGATTAGAAATGGATTAATTGAATATTTTCTTTAAATATAAAGATCCTGGCAGTTAAGGCTAAACTTGTTGCAAGTTAACATACTATAATAATAATAATAAGATGTATAATAATATAGGGACTAGAGTTACCTGTAGAATCGTTTATTTTGCGGTTATTATAGAGAGTATACTACTGCTTATACGAGTAATAGATTCAATAGATTTCAAAATATCTTGAAAAAGTTTATATCCAAATAAATACCTCTTCAATATTAGATATAGAATCTTATAAAAATATAGATAGATATACTGCTTAATCGTATATTCAATAGATTTCGAAAAATCTGTTGAAAATGTTCTGCTATTTGATACCTTTTATATCCAAATAAACACCTCTTCAATTCTAGATATAGAATCTAATAACAATATAGAACAAATGGTAGCAATGCATCGTAAAAATAAGATCTTCGAATTTGTGTGTTTTTTCGCAACGCTAAATTATTTGGAAAGAGTATTTAATCATCGCCTAGTACTCCTTTCCTCGCCTCGAACTCCAACGTCAAATTTAAATGGCAAAGACAAAAGAGATAGATAGATAGCGAGAGAGGGAGCGGGAAAGGAATAGAAAAGAAAAGCCCAAGTACAATTGCAGTCCGGTGCATGACAGACATTGCGTCGTCATCATCATCGTCGTAATCTTTATATATATCTTTAGATAGTACGAGTATGTGTTTCCTCATTTGAAATTCTAGTGTGCAAAAGGGAGGGCGCGGGGCGGCGTGCAAGAAATACTGAAGTTGAAGAAATGAGCATTTTCCTTTGGCATCTACTCGTACTTTGGAAATTGTTATTGTTGTTAGTTGCTTTTGTTAGTTTGTTTAGTTTGCTTTGCTGTGAAGTTTATGCTGCGAAAAAAGATGTTTTTATTGTTTTATTTTTACCGTTTGCATAACAATGAAGCCGGCACTATTATAAAGTAGATTGTTGTAAAAACGCGAACCAATGCCGCGGTCATGAAAACTTTATGCGCCAACATGTGCAAATTCATGAATTACTTCATGTATAAAACCCGAAATGAAAATCGTTTTTTGAATGCGAACATACTTTTTTGTACATACTAAATGTATGCATATTTAGACAAATACCTAATTTTTTTGTTGGTCTTTTCTTTCTCCTATTTGTAGCACCGACGGCACAGAATCTCCCATACTGGCTGAAGACGGTGGCGATGGGCATGATAAGCCGCGGATGCGCTATGGTGAACTTGTTATACTTGGGTAAGTAGTGCTTATCGCATTGGTTATGTAGTGAGTTTTGTATTTTAAAGGAACTCAAAATGTTTGTTTTCCTAATTAACATTTGAATACATGTATTTAACCAGTTGAGATTATAATAAATTTTAACATTATTTTTATTTTATTTATTTATTTATGAAATGTTCCTATGCGATGTGAAATCGACATATGAACAGTAAGAACAACATCATAAATGAAAAAATTATTGATAAGTTTATTTAACCAATTTAATGATTGTCCACGATTAAATAAACACACTCTGCTAATAAAAACAAGATAGAACGCTACAGTCGAGCAAGCCCGACAGTAAAATAGCCTGTACTCTCCACAAAAAAGAAAAATTAAAAAAAAAAAAAAAATTTTTTAAAATTAAATTATTAAAAAAATGAATTAATTAATTAATTAAAATAATTAATTAAATTAAATTAGAATACATGTTTATGTTCAGTTTAAACAGCATACATTTACATCACGTAGCTATGCGTGTTTATATGCGTGTATGTATGCAGCACAAAGTTGAACCAAAGCAGCAACAACAACAACAGCTGCGGGCAGCGCTGCCGACAGAGGCAGCGCATGAGCAGCGATTTTACTTATGGCTATAACTTTCTTCAGAATTGACCTATCATGATGAAATTTGCCACACGGACACATTAGTACTAACTGGATGTACCTACCAAAATTGATTTTTTCCGAGAATTACGGAAGTTATAAGAAAGAACACGAATTGCGGGGGAGTGGGGGGGTGTATTAGAAAAAATAAACAAACTCGTTCTGCCTAGGGCTTATAGGAACCTTGATACCAATTTTGGTTATCCTAGCTCTTGTACTTACTGAGATCCTTGCGCTCATACAGACAGACGGACAGACAGACAGACGGACATGGCTATATCGACTCGTCTTCTCATCCTGATCACGCCTCCTTCTGTGTGTTACATACATGCGCAGAAAACTAGTATAGCCTTTCACCCTTTGGGTACAGGCTATTAAAAAAAAAAAAAATAAGAACAAGCTATTGTTCCGTGAACTTAAGCTAAGTTACATAACTATATAATTATTGCTGGAAATTACCTAATAAAGTATTTACAGTATTTTACAACAATTATGATAATAAAATAACATGTATTTTTTAATTTTATTTTTTATTTTAATATCGACTAGTTGTTTATGCTTTGATTTTTTTAAGAATGTGATAAGATGAAAAATGTTATCCTTATCAGGGTATCGAAGGCAGAGGTGGGAGAGTATTTTCTATGCAGAGAGCCCAGGCTTGGAAATGAAGCGAGGTGGGGTTGATAGTGGGTTGTTGGAGGTTGTCCTTATAAAGTTTATTCGTTTATTTATATGTTTGCATTCAAAGCCCATGAAACAGGTCAAAATGGAATATTTTACTCACTTCTAAATAGTCCTATGTAATTAAAATCAATCAAAATAAATACAAAATTGAATCAATGAAATGTTTTTCAATTTCAAACTGAAGATGAACACAATTCCTAATACCAACTCTTTTGGTTTGGGAATGTCTTGACTTTGTGACCGTAGGATTATGCTCGTTGAATGCACGTTGGCACCGTTCTATGCTCTGTTACTACTCCAGGCACAGGCACATACGCCAACACTTCTCTCAAAATGTTCGTCATTAGTTACTGTGACGTCAGCACGCATTTCGTGCTATCGGAGGCGCATTGATGACGATGTCGATGGTGACGACGACGACGACTAGACAATAAATGGCAAAAACACAAAATGTTAGTGTCGTGCTGCCACCGTCGCAGTCGTTGTAACCTCTTAGTGCCATAAATTAGATTCACGCAGCAGCCGCCACTAAGACACTGCCGCTGTTGCTGCCTGCCACTGGACGTGGTACGCTTGAGATTGATGGCTTGGCTTGGCTTGGCTTGACCGACAACTGCGGCGGCAAGTCGGCTTGTAAATCTTTATGTTTGACCATCGGTCCGTCCGTCCGTCAAATGCTTGACATCGCGCTGATTACCTGACGCGCCCGCCTCGACCAACTGACTCATGAATCGGACGGGCAGTTTTGAAATGCTTGAGTCATTAGCTTAACGTTCTGTAAGTTGTGATCGGACTGCAGTTTTTGTTGTTGTTGTTGTTGTTACATGGCATTTGTTATCTTAACACTTTTTAATTGCCTACAAGCCGAACTCGACAAAAGGCCAGGGAGAGTTTAAAAAAGGTTGACAGCTTTGTGCTTGCACGAATTTCGTCGCGCCTAAGCCTTGGCATTTGTTTGTGTAATTGCTGCCACGCTTGGCCGCTTGTCCAGACTAGGGACTCAGACACACTCACACACACTCACACACACTCACACACACAATCCGGGCGACGTCTGGCTAAAAAATCAATTTTTCATTTTCTATGCTCTTTTTTTTTTGAGTTGTCCGCCATGGCGGGTGTTTGTTGGTTGTCTGCTTGCTTTTGTACTTGTTGAACGTTAGCGGGGCTTGGGAATAGAAGCCCAGTTCCAGTCCTAGCTTAAGTGTTGACGCAATCAGACACACCAACAACAACAACACCATAGACTGGAGCAACAGGCTAAAACATGTGATGCTCGCCTCCTGAATGTTGCCCACCATTTTATGGCTTCCGATGCAATTACGTATTTTACTCTAGTATGTGCGTATTTGAACCCCCAAGATCCTAGCCGGCGACATTACTCAGTGATATATGATAGACCTGCACAACAACAACAACAGGAACAGCAACAACAACAACAATGGCTACAATAGCCGAAGCCCCAAACCTGTACACATTTTAATTAATGACCCGCCTTAATGCGAACGTCAACGTCGTCAACGTGCTTGTTGTTGCTGTAATTGTTGTCCCTCTGAGCCAACTTTTAATTGTTGTCATAAAAATTAACTACGATTTTTTCTTTAAGGCGTTAAATATCATTAAGAAACTACCTTAAATGCGCTCATTAATACATCAAAAAGCATAAAACTCACAAAAATGTCTCGCAACCATGTCAACATCCTCAGACCGAGTCCGGGGCTGAGACTGAGACTGGGGTCGTGGCCAAGTCGCCTTAATTCTTCATCTCTTGACTTTTTTTTTATTTCTTTTCATTTCACTTTGATTTTGAACTGCTCCGCATTTCTAAGAATATTTACACCCTAAGCATTGACTATTTCTTCTTCGTGTTTACAGCCTTAAACCATTATTCGTATTATTTTTTTATCGCGCTGCTGCCGTTGCTGCTATTGCTATTGACAACTGATTTCAATTTTATCCCCGAGACCAAAAAGTTTGTTCATAAAATAAAATAGAATGAGAAATTCAGAAGCGAAATGTTTGCTGAGATCAAAACAGGGGCTGTTTAATGGGCTGATTAGTCCCTTTCTCCACGCAAGAGTTTACTTCAAGCCGAACAAAAACTGATATGTGGAAGGCTTTTAAGTTGGGAATCTTTTAAAATGCTATACATTCTAACTACTTTCTGCAACAAAAACAAGAGAGAACGCTACAGTCGAGCAAGCCCGACAGTGTAATACCCTGTACCCAGGTAAACTTCCGTCACTGAGTTATATGCGCCCATAGCAGCAGCAAAAAGAGGAAGAAGAAGAGCGAACTTGTTGCTGCAGTTTGGGGAGGTTGTACTGGCGAGAATTTGTTTGGCTAATAACTTTTCTTAGAATTGACCGAATTAAATAAAATTTTGAACAACAGTAGACAATATATAAATATATAATATATATATATATAAATTATGTGTGCAAAGTTTGGTTTAGGTAGCATTTGAAATGTGGACGCTATTGACGAAATTCTGTAGCGGTGAAAGGGGGGGGGGGGGGGGGGGGGGGGAAATTCCAAAAAAAACAAATAAACTCGTCCTTTCTCGGACCTAGGAGAAACTGGATGCCAACTTTGGTTATTCTAGCTTTTATAGTTTCTGAGATCCTCGCGTTCATCCAGACGGACAGACGGACGGACGGACGGACATGTCTAGATCGATTTCTCTCGTCATGCTGATTCAGAATATATATACTTTATGGGGTCGGAGATGCTTCCTTCTGCATGTTACATACTTTGCACAAACCTAATATACCCTTTTTACCCTACGGGTACAGGGTATAAATATGTTAAGACGAAGAAAACCTATTTTGTGTGCTTTTTATCTTCAATAAAGCTTAAACCTGTCAGCTAATCTTCTCAGGCTGTCGCTATTTTGAAAAAAACTAAACCCAATAGTCGTAATTAACACCGACATCCTGCTACCAAATCATTATTAAATCTAAGTATTCACAATACGGGATTAAAACTGATTCAACTAGTAGTGAGTAACATCCACGTCCAACCAGCAAATCATTATAATATCTAAAATGGAATGTACAAACATCTATTATCCTGAAATAGGCGGCAGTGCAATATTTATTAACATTGTTAAATAAATGCAGGTTATAAACCAAGTCTGATGGAATAGCTCCAAAAATTGTTAGCTCTTATATGGAACTACTTGAGATTGGTACTGAGTTCCGAACTCAAAAAGACCGTAATTCGTTAGAAACTTTATATTTGTTTTTCCCTGTATCATCTGTGTATACTGAGTCTGAGAGTCTGGCGCCCTCCTCTAGTGATTTTAATTCACAAAACTTCGAATGCCTTGAAGATGAAAAATGCCACCCGCTTAGCGATTTCAGCTCGCACTAAAAATTCTTTTGATTTTATAAGATATTTATTCAAAAGATTGGTTGAATATTTTCTTCTTCTTCTTTTTTACATTGGTACGTTGTCTAGAAATGCGTAATAACAAGTTTCTTGAGAATTTAAAAACTACGCCATACTCGTATTACTTACAAGGAGAAGTAAATATCGATTCTCTGGCTAAGAAAATATTGACTTGCAAACAAAATCCAAGACTCAGCAAAGATCATTAGTAGAAGTTCAGTTTCAAATCCCTTCTATATCCACCTAAATAAAATATATTGCTTTAATGGCTGTAGTGCGTGTCGTTTAGCTAATCTCAGGGCAATGTGTTTGCGATCGGCATGTGTTTTAAAGTCTTGTCACCTCTAGGCCGTTTTATGACAAAAAGATGAAAGCCAACGGCTAGTTGGGCATGGATGCAAAAAAAATGTGTCTATTTAATGAAATCGAATTAGTTGCTAATGCCACACTAAATGTACACATGTGTGGACCTTTAGTTTGTTGTTTGTGATTCCATTGCTAATGTAGTCAAATTGAATGCGCAATGCTTCGAGTTATTGCCACTCGTTATCTGCCCGGGGCCCCACGCCCGGGTCTAGGTCTGGGACACTGGGGCGCTAATTGTGTAAGCATATTACCGCCGACTCAGCAGAACTCGACCTAGAAATTGAAATATTGAAGCAGGCACGGTTGTGTAATGCCCCTGCTTATCATAAATCAACACCCAATTTTATTCCATGACAAAGAAGCTAATGCTGAAATACCCCAATTACTCGTTACAGCTACAATGGGTACTTGCCACAGGGCGATCGCGGTCGACGACGTTCCAAATTTGTGCTGCACAAACGCACGGAGCCGAGCGGCGTAAAACGCTCCAAACACTACATCGTACAATCGCCACAGACTTCGAAGGCCATTTTGGATGCCAACCAACACTCGATATCGTATACCCTGTCGCGCAATCAGGCGGTCATTGTGGAGTATAAGGAGGACACGGAAACCGATATGTTTCAGGTGAGTAAAAAGCTCCAAAAGGAGTGCCCCTATGAAATCAAAGATGGACCTCGACGGACTTAAGTGCGACCATAAATTAACACAAAGGTTTAAATAAAGAGTCCTCCGAGTCTGAAGGAATATAACTAATATTTGTTAGTTTGTATACAAAACTAAAAGTTTGTTATTTAGTTTCGAGCTTTAAAAGACCGTAATTTGTTAGAAACTTTTTATTTGGCATTGATTGCATGATCGTCTTTTTCTATATCACCTTACGCCTGAAATATTTAGAATTTCAAATAAGTCGAATAGTTCCATAAGAAGTAAAGTCTCAAATTGTAGTTAGCGCGATAGATCGATACTTATAAAGTGTTGAGCGCTCGAAATTCCGGATTCATGTCCTCGTAAAGGACGAACATTTATTCAAAAACTGCTCCGTTTAGTCGGTCCCTAGTACTTAACAATGCCTGCACTGTACAAAACTGTTGAGATGAAATGAAGCTCACTTTTCTCAGTTTAAAGCATAATTCTATAAGCCCTCCGGCCTAGTTCTGTCAATATTATATTTATAACGTGACATTGATTAGTGGTTTGCTATTTGTTTATTCAACCGACTACTAATTTCGTGCTGACAGCAATGATTTTCCATGGTTATGGGCCTGTTGGGCACGGCTACGGGGCTTATCTCTCTGCCCATATTCAAATGAATTCTTTTCTATTCTATCATAATTTTAGTGAAATGTCGATTTGATATATAACCCCGCGGAATGAATTAACACGAAAAAGGTGGCATATTAGAATATATGGAACTTGAATGAGCAAAAGTAATTTAATAATCATCACTGTTCAAATAATTTATGATTGTTTATCATAATATATAAGAAATACGTCATTTATTGATAAATGGAGTAATTTTGGTATTAAGAACAGTTTATCGCGATGTTGATGAAGTAATAATACAATGAATGCACTAAGATTCTAAGTTAACTAATGGGCTAACATTTAGATTGGTTCGTGGACTCATATAAGTTGTACGCTCCCAAAATAATTAGCGAAACTTTTAAATAGGCAAACTTTTCCAACGGAACTTATTAAAATTAAAACAAACTATTTTTTCAAGAAAATCGTAGGGATTTGTAAGCATACCATCAGAGTTTTCTATAGGTTTTCTATTTTTTTTTAGATCCTCATCAGAATTGTCAGATATGTACAAATATAGGGAGGTTAATAAATAAGGTAAAAATATATTGTTAGTGAAAAGGGAGTTTACTAATATTTTCATAATTAATCAATTATTTGCCGTAAATTCGAATTTTTTTTAAGTCTTTAAGAAAACACTAGTTTGAAGCCCCATATTCACGAGCATTTCAACATTTCACTATCCCGCTAAGTGTTGGAAAACTCCGGATATTGCAAATGCATGCAGGTGCTGCCAACTTGTGTTTTTTTTTTAGACATAAGATGCCAAACCTTATATTGAATTACAAATTGGGGCTAAATTTAGAGGCAAGTTTCGTCATTCCTACTCGCAATCTCTTCGAGGGCCTAGCTTCCCAACAGACAGACGCCTTGGCGTGCTTCTCAACAATAGAACATATTTGGGGACTACCCTTTTAGGCTATTTTTAAATGTCTTCAATTTGTGTTGTCGAGCAATAAATAAACACAAGTGACATTATCATTAATTTTAATTGAATTTACTGTGGCACCTTTTATTTCTTTATGTATGTAGGTACATAAAACCTTTATCATGATTATTAGGCCCATGAAAACTTATTAAGTACCTTTAATGCCCCTATACTTTGTACGAAGATGCGGCAAGACAGCTAATTAGCTTGACTAGTCACAAACTCCAGCCCAGCCTACTGTTGACGTTTGACCGGAGTGCGTCACATTATGGCCGGCTTTTGGCTCAATTTAGACACCTGACTAGAGCTCGTATATCTTTTGTTTGCTTTGTCATTTATGGTTTGGCGCATCGAAAGGTCAAATGTGTGTGTTTGCAGTTCATTTTGTTGCCTTTCGACTTGGCGTTCCGACAGACAGTCCGATATCTAATATTTATATTGATTACGACTCTATCGCACACACTATATAAAAGTATACACACATATCGAATACATACATATGTATATAATGGGTGTCCTTCCAACGGACTTGAAGTGCTGGGGTTTGTTGCCATGTCAGCGTTTGGCACGCGTTATAATAATATCGGATGATTGCGCACATATTCATATGTATTTGTATTTTGATAAATAACTCGAACGACGAGCGCATTATATTTGTGTCACACGCTGCTCGATTTTAGTCAGCGATGCACAACATCATTAATCACCCATCTATAGATACTATACTATACATATATCATTGCATTTGCAGGTCGGTCGCTCCTCAGAGTCACCCATTGATTTCGTGGTAATGGACACCCTGCCCGGCGATAAGAAAGATGCAAAAGTTATGCAAAGTACAATTTCACGTTTCGCCTGTCGCATTTTGGTCAACCGATGTGATTCCGCGAAGGCGAGAATATTTGCTGCCGGTTTCGATTCGAGCAGAAACATATTTTTGGGCGTAAGTATTCACATTCCCATTCGAATTAGAGAGTTGTAGAGAGACCAACAATTGACAATTTGCAGGAAAAGGCCACCAAATGGCAGGACAATGTGGAAATTGACGGCCTAACCACAAATGGCGTGTTGATTATGCATCCAAAGGGCTCGTTCTGTGGCGGCAATGCCAAATGCGGTCTCTGGCGTGAATGCTCCGTGGGCGGTGATGTGTTCAGTTTGCGCGAATCGCGTTCAGCACAGCAAAAGGGCCAGCCGGTGAGTACAAATACAAATACGCGTATATGTCTGGTCTAAAACCTATGCTTATTCACATTCTCAACAGATCTACGACGAGTCCAACATCTTGCAAGACGGCACACTCATTGATCTCTGCGGTGCAACGCTGCTCTGGCGTTCAGCCGAGGGCTTACAACATTCACCGGTAATTAAATAGATAACTACAGATAACCCACTATGATCCATATATGTAATACCAAATCGTAGAATTATAGAATAGAATAGATAAGGCTTTTTTAGATATTGTCCGCAATTGCAAAGAGAACATACCGGGTGTATATGTTAATCGAGGCAGAAAAAAAATCTTATGATCATCTTAACTTCCATCGTAAATGGAGAGCTCTTGAGCCACAAACTTACATATTTAAAAACAGAATATGGTTCTGCATAAATATGCTTGAGTTTCAATTAAATTTCAGAATAGAGGGATCCATATTCCAGCACAGTTTATCAATAATAAATTATGATTGTCATATACTGGCCTCCAAAATAAGAGCAAGCACGGATTGATCTTTAAAAACGAGAGAAACAGAGACAGAGAGAGATCTTAAATAAACATAAAAGACAAGTCTTGCTAAATTTTCCAGCGTCCGAACTATCGAGATTGCACTGTATTTATTGGAACCGATTTTTATAGCTTCAAAACGATTGAAATGCATACATTTTGTAATGCTCTGGTTATTGATGCACAGACATTGAACTTTATACGTTAACGAGCTTAGTTATATGTAGAGTTTATAGGTGGAGAGCCTCCCCGCGTTCTTCAGAACACAAGAAATATAACAGTAGACATAATCATGTAGTAAAATGAATGCTAATGCGTTTTCCTTTCTCTTTTTTGTTTTCAAACAGACTAAACACGATTTGGAGAAGCTTATCGATGCCATTAACGCTGGTCGTCCACAGTGCCCGGTGGGCCTCAATACGCTGGTCATACCGCGTAAAGTAAATATCGGAGATCAAGTGAATCAGCCTTATGTGTACTTAAACTGCGGCCATGTGCAAGGTAATGCCGATCCCTCAATCCCTCAAACCCCCCAACCAATATTTTAGCTAAACTAATGCCTCTTCTCTGTTGTTGTTGTGCAGGTCATCATGACTGGGGTCAGGATGAGAACACTGGCGCTCGCCGTTGTCCCATGTGCCTAGAGCTTGGCCCCGTTGTGACGCTGTGCATGGGTCTGGAACCGGCCTTCTATGTGGATGTGGGCGCTCCGACGTTTGCATTTAATCCGTGTGGACACATGGCGACTGAGAAAACTGTCAAGTAAGGCCTTAACTGCAAGTAACAATCACTGCAACTGGAATCAGACTAATGATATATCCACTCTTATGGTTTCAGATACTGGGCTAATGTTGAGATTCCGCACGGTACCAACGGCTTTCAGGCTGTTTGTCCATTCTGTGCGACGCCGTTGGATGGCGCGACTGGCTATATTAAATTAATTTTCCAGGATAATTTAGATTAAATATGATATATAAAGATACACACATACAAATACAAAACACATACACATACATACGTGCGATTACGTGCATATAGTTGTAGTAATTGGATCGATCGAAGCTGAGAAGCTGGCAGGAGCTGAGAAGCAGGCATTAATACAACTAGGCTTTATTTATTATCATTAATTATGTATGCACGTAATTTTATATATACATATGTATGTATGTACGTATGTAATTGCAAAGTTTGCGCTGCATTCTAAACCGATTACGGATTACAGATTATATAAGCATATTATTATTTAAGCCCAATTATTTACAACAAAAGCAAACGATAATCCACAAGTAAATGTACTTCACTTATTGATTGATTGATAAATGAATGCAACATATATGCCACAAAAAGAAAAGAAACAGCCGATGCAGCCGGATGTTATAGTTTATTCCCCCTATATAGTCTGTTGTATAAATTATTTCAAGCAAACGAAATGAATTTGAAAAGCGCCACGTAAATCGCAAATGCTATATGTAGGAGTTACGAAGCAAGTAAAAGCAACAAAAAATGTGTAAAAATTATGTAAAAACAAAAGCAAAACAAACATACATAAGATTAAACCGTAATTATAAAGTTTCATTATTATATCAATGCAGTAACGACCACAAATTATTTTAAATGTGTTTGCGCCGCCAGCCTATCAATCAGAACAGAACACAACACAACATAAATGTACTCGTACTTTTCACCAAATCTAGAGCTTACACAAACAATTAATTGTAAACATTTACAATACACATGCGTGCAAAAGTTAAACATTGTACAGTTTTCAACAAAAAAGTAATGAAAAACACTTTTTGAAGCGAACGCATTTATATCGACATATGTAATATGGCAGGCTATCAAGCATTTGGTCAGATAAATCCCTACCTATCCTGCACTACAATCCATCAATAACAATGGCAAGGAGATACAGGACAACACATTTCTGTTCCCTGCAGTGGACACAGAAAGCGAATGTTTAAGCTTCACAGCACCAGAATCTTCTTCACACAGCCAGAGCGCGTTCGTATCATAAATTTATTCATTTTCTGCCCAAAACGCATTCTTATATGTTAGTTAATATTACGATTCTTATTTGTATAACGTATTCTTATTTTTTAAGCATAGACACTTTGTGTGTTCATAATAAAAATGTTGCGCCGCAAATGTTAAATATTTCAACATTGCAAACAAACAAACAAAAGATGGTAAAAATCAATTGTAAAATAAAAATCTCTAGCTATACACATACTGAAAAACAAAACATGAGTATATTTTGATTAAAGCGCGCATTGAATAAAACCAGCAAGCACTTTTATTATCCACTCTGCCATCAAACTGGAATCTACAATTGTATTCGATCTCGGCACGCAAAGAAAACGATATATATTTTAACTCAAAACCAAATTCTTGGAGTGTGAGCATTATTCTTCAGCGTGGACATCTCTACCGCTAGAAATGGTATGTTAGTGGATTTTGTTGGTTGCACGTTTTTGAATTAGTGGGCCTTAATAATGTCACAGTTTAAGATTTAAAAGAAAACTCTGAGCTCTTGTTCCTACTGAAGGCTCCAAATATTGGCCGAGTTGCTGTGATTTTATAGTCAAACTTATGGGTTCGCATTCGCAGATCTGTTAGCACGTTGCAAAATCTTGGCCGAGTTACTGTGATTCCATAGCCACAGTTATTCATATGGGCTCAATATTTGGTTTAAGGGTTCGCATTCACAGATCTTTTAACAGGTTGCAAAATATTGTCGGTAAATGTAAGAATTTTGAGATATAACGAATGGTTATTCCAACATTTCAAATGGAAATGGCTTAAAATTATAGGTCAGGTTCACTAATATTCCTTTTTAACGGCATGCAGGGTTTGTAGAGTGTTCATTACAGCCCCTCGTAAACGTTTCAAGTGGATAGCTACAGCTCAAGGACTAAATTAGCTCCAAAATGGTCCGAAACTCTCATTTTTTTTAAAATCCATCAATTGAACAACTCTGTTAAAAGTTTAACATAAAATGTTATTTGTCTGTTAATCAAAATTGCAACGGTTCAAAGCTTCACTGAAATTGGCTGTTAAATGGTGCAAAGCTTCACTAGAATTGGTTGGTATATTTCTTCCCTCAACCCAATATTATTTGAAATGTATTTATTATGTCGGGACGGCGCGTACGCCATTCCCGGCTACCAAAAATTACACGCACGAGTTATTCACATTAGGAATAATCGCAGAGGTCAACTCAACCGAATGTGCAATGGCCAAGCCTCACTCCGGAGGAACCGCCTTCGTGATCACGGTTAACCTCTACGCCAGGTAAGTATGCTTAACTCCGCTTTTGGCTTCTCACACCATCCAAGGGCTGTGCGAACTGGTTGTGAATTATAGTGCACAACTATGAAAATGTATCCCAAAAGTATGCAATACAATTTGTTGACACTTATACTTGTACCGCGATGAAGAAATCAATTAAAACAACCCCCATATTTTATGAAAACAGTTTTCATATTTATTTTTTTGAATCTTTTCATGTGTGTATGTAGTTTTGAAACAAAAATTTATTGTTGTGGCTGTCATATTGCATTGATCTAAAGAATAATAAAAGTGCATCAAATTTTTGCTTAAATTGTAACCAACTTATTGTCTTCTTGCCATATACAATTTATTGTCATTGTTCTTCTTGAAATTAATTTCTATTAATTAATTAATTTTGGAGTAGTACCGATTTATATTCTTTTGAAGCTGCTTATTGACATCAATGTTTCAATTTTCTACCGCATAGGTATTTTTGCCTCTTTCGCAAATTTGATATTCCCGTTTTTGGGTGTTTGTTGTTCATGTTCGTTTATAATATTTGTATGATGTTTATTAATTTAAAAAATGGAATAGTTTCATCATGCATAGGTACCTATTAATTAAATTGAAATTTCAATGTAAGTTTATTCATATTTTTGTTCGTGCAAAGATCTTATTATTTGATTATGTTATTATGTCGTATGTATGTACTATAAGTTTTTCGAAATGATTGAAAATTCACAGTTAATGAAAGTATTTTGCTCGTATTGTTTTCGTTTTTGCAGAGAAATGTTAATGTTGCTATCTAAGTACGTAAGAGTTGTGTAAGTTTATAATCGACATGGAAATTTGTATTTATTATAATTTGTTGGAATATTCATTTATTTGTTAAATACAAGTATATAAATACATACATACATCATTTGGGAATTCATATAATTTGATATTCGCTGAAAGTACACAAAATATGACTCTTTATTTTCATCATCATGATAGACATCATCATCATCATCATCTACATTTGTCGTTTTCATTTATTTGTAAGTACAACACTAATATTTATAAACCGCTTATTCGTTTTGCTTTTTGTTTCGTTTTGGACTCTTGTGCGCTTAGCTGCAAAATTATTTATACAAAAACGTACTTGTACTCGTACTTGTCTTACAAACTCTTTTAAGCCCCAAAACCTATATCTGTGTATACAAAAATTTATCAAAATTGCTAAGTGGAAAAATAACGGATATAAAAAGAAGTTTGATTCGATTTTTAATTGCAAAACAGAAGAAGCTAATGCATTTAGTACAAATATAACAAAAACTTAACAGATTCTCTTCAGCTATAATCGTAGTTAGGTTTAAGAAATACATAATCATCATATCATTCATTCCATTCGGTTTGAAATGAAATACATATATAATTTGTTTTTTTTTTTTTTTTTTGTTTTATCGCTTAAGTGCAAATATATATCGTAGTACTATATATCATACTTTATGTTCATATCAAACCCAAGCCCAAATAGTGCATAGAACTATCAAAAAGTTATGTTTTATTGTTCGTTAATTTTTAATACATATACATATTACTTAATGACATGCAATACGTTTCAGATTTTCGATTTATATTTGTTTTTACAGACATATAGTATAGTATTCTAAACATTATGCAAATAGTTTATTTATGTTTACATATCGTGTTCTTATTGTCTTTAAAATTACTTCATTATTGTTGTAAAATTCATTTCATTATATTACAAATAAGCAATTAGGGAATTATTCGCGAAATGTGAGCAAAAAGCAATGGATATTCGATCCATTTCTCAGACTATATCGCGGGTGAGTGAAACAAACAATCAACATTTCGATAACTTCTCTTTCGAACAACACCAATTATGCAAATATTATGGAAAAATTTACGAGAAAAACATGAAAAATTGTGTAACAAAAAGTTTAACTATATTCGGAATGGGGATGCGACCCCAAACAATTAATATGTATATATATGTTTATTATTTATTGTTGCAAGGAGCACCACAGTAGACAGTAGCAATAAAAATTATCCTTTTTTATTTTTAAATTTTTCTACATACATTTGTTCAAAATCGTTTTATTGTTCTTCACTTATCTCAGTTGAATATAATTGTTGAGGGAGTGGAGTGACATTTGCGAGAGGCGAAACGTTTTCCTCATTTCAAGTTGTTTAAGCATTGTATTTATAATAATTATGTTAATATTTCTTTACAAGTAACACAACCGAGACCTATTAGCTATGCGGGAGAACTTTCAAAATAAATAAATTCTTTCAATAGGCATTAAAATTTTATCAATTAAGTGGGAGCGAATCGTTCGCATTTTAATCATTTCAAGTAGTTTTATAAAACTTTAAGCGAAATTGTTAAGCTCTGTTGCACTAAAATAATTCAACAATTTCAAGGAGTTTAATAAAATTAATAACCCTTTTTTAAACAAAAACCTTAATATGAATGTAAATTAATTCAGACGCAATAAAGCCAATGAAAGCCAAGCAAAATATGTAAATTGTTGTAATTATGAATATATTGGCTTTGGTAATTTGGATTGGTGAAATATATTGTTAAACAAAATCTTCAAAAAAAAGAAAGAATTGAATTTAAAAGCTCCTTAAAAAATGTTCGCCTTTTGAAGCTACGAATTTTTGGAAATTGTGGTTGCTGTTATATCAGAACTTTTGGAAATAAATCCTTGGAAATATTGATAAAGAAAATCTTTGAAAACTAGAAAGAAATATGTAACGCTATTGGCTTTAAATATGTTGGAATTCTCAAGCTAAGAAACTAATATACTTTCCTTTGGTTTTAAAATATTGTACCGGAAACACTCATAAATATAGTGGTGGGAAATGAATCCTTATGTATATTGATAAATAAAAGCTTCGAGAACAATAAAGCATTAATTGAAATTAAAAAAGAAAAGGTCGATAATATGCTATGTTTGTATTGGTTTCAAAAACTGCTAAACATTTTATTGAAGCTGCGGATAAATAATTTTCTGATGCTAAGTAGCTTCATTACTTCATATTCTACCGATAACACTCAGAGATATAGTGGAATACTGATTTCCCTAAAAGAAAACGAAATGAACCTGATTTAGAACTCTTGACCAAAGACTTCTGATGCTAAGAAACTACAATACTTTTGCTTTTGAGAGTATTGTACCGATAATACTTTTATACCCGAATTCGAGGGAACAACAAACGCTTAAAAGTTTCGCCTCTCTCCACAGTTTCTGTCGGGTTCTGTGAAATCACCGTACTTCCCTCGTACATTTATGTCTGTTATTGTCATAAATTGTATTGTCCTTAACACTAGGCTTATCGTACAATATTTTCGAGCGTCAGTATTGGGCTCAGCAAACTATTTTGCGCACTTCTTCATCTTTCGATCATTATTGTCATCGTGTCGCATTATTATTGTCGGCGTACATTTTACATAGAACCGCTTTACAGCTACACTATAATTTATTGTCTGTATTCAGATGAATTGTAAGTAGTGGTAGTATGTAATTGCTAGAAAATCTACAATTTTTTACCGTTACCGAAGTCGTAGATGTACATTGTATGTATGTAGTATATGTATATGTAAGTTTAATGCAAGTATACAAGTAAAAAAGTAGAATTCCATACGCGTACAGGTAAATATACAAAAAGGTTTCGACGCCACCAAAAATCTGAACCACGCAAGCAACTCTCAACTGGCTGGCCCCGGCGAGCCGCCAACTCTCACACACGCACACACAATGTCAACTGTTTGTTGTTGTACACCTTAAAAATAACTATCAAGATATGTCTTTCAGATGATATTAGCCTGGTTGTGAATGTTCTGTTCGCTAGCCCGGAATTTGCAACAGGCCCAGCAGCGGGGATATGCGATTCGTTTGATATGAGATTATACATTCGCTCCGAAAAAATCTCGAAATACGTTCTGTATGTATGTTTGTGAAGGGAGTGTGTCTGTATATTTGGCGTGTAGGATATGCAGAATGTGTTATAGGATATGATTTGAGTCCCTTGCTAGTTCCTGTTGCAAACTTCAGGCATTTATCTGAGCGCGTCCTCAACACTCTGGACACTATCAGGCAAGCAAGCGGCTTGCAAGACCCCGACGTGTCGCAACCAGGCTAAGAACTGTTGAAATCGCGTAGACCACCAAGTGTCTGCTGCTCCAGTGTTGGCCCCCAGTGGCGGAGGCACCCGAGTTAACAACATTTATCTTCCAGCCCAGATTGTTGTGTGTGAAGCACTGCATCGGTAGAAAGACAGAAACATTGTCAACCTGAAACTTAAACGCTGTCAAGAGTTGTGCTAATTACCTGATAGTACAACAAATCGGGGGCATCCATGGGTACTGTCCAATTCAGATAGCCCGGCTCTCCCTCCTCGCAGTGCAGTTCCAGCGTCAGCTTGTAATCCTCAAAGGTTTCGCTCTCCGCCGAACGATCAATGCCGCGATGTTGCCATTCGCAGTATCGACCAGCTAAAAAAAATTATAGTTATTTTATAATAGGGGAAACCCCAATTAGACTTAGATGGTCTTCAAAAATATTATCAAATGTCTAATATCTAATAATCTACATATAATAATAAATAATGTTTGCGTCTGCAGAAAATTGATTGTTAAGGCTTAAGATAAACGTATTCTTTTTAAACAAACTTGTACAGATGCGTCGGTCTCTATGTATAATCCAATCCAATCCAATCCAATCCTTCATACAAATACGATCCGGATCTATAGTTATATTTTTTAAAATCTTTATTTATTCATCAAAAGCTATTTTATTCCCTTCAGAAGCTATATCCTCCGAGTGTAATGCATTTTATATAGAGCCGCTTTCTCCAAAAATTATTAAAAAATTAAAAAATTATTTTCTGGATGTCCTAAATCGTTTCAAAGAGATGTCCCTTAAGTGGTCTGTCGAGAAATTTCTTAACTAGCCAGAAGTCTTCAGGCGAAAAAGTGTTAAGTGGGAGATTGATTGCTACGAGACACAACAAATTTCTGTAAATGCTCTTGACTGTTCCATTACAAAAGTCAACAGTCTCAAAAATGATATTTTAATGTAACTTTAAATATTGCTCTTATCGCATTGTTTTTAGTTGATATTCTTTGTAGATTTTAGGACATATTTTCGTGTTATAATTGTACACGGTAGTACTATATATACTTGTTTTTCAAAGGGCAATTGCTCCTATCTTGATATCATATTGGCACCAACCATAGCTTGCCCAGCCAATAACGCCTGCAAAAGTGTTATCCGTTTTATCTTCCTCTAAATTAATGTTAACTTTTAGTTACCAGCGACCAATGTATTTTGAAAATTTCTCCCTTTTGCATGCAAATCCTTACATTTTTATAACTATCTAATTGTCATACTCATTTAAGGGTTTTTGTCATTCTCGTTTAAGCTATAAGATCCAATTACTACAGATTCCAATAAACATAAACATTGCAACTCTAATTATTTCTAACAAATTATAAATATCAGAAAACGTATATGGATGTGAGTGATTCGAAAAAATTGATGTTTGATAAAGAATAAAGCAAATTTGTAGTTTTCCTTAGAAAATGCATTCAAATACCTTTGCGATTTATATTTTTTGTAGGATATAGCAAACAATTACCTGCTGTCGGTATAGAATCGCCATCATCATCGAATTCCACACCTGCATATGCTTTCTGTTTGCGCGCATCCAGGCCCATTTTTTGGCCCAAGCCGCCTTCCGGCGAATCGGTTATATAGAACGGGTGGAATCTGTTATGATGACATTTTCGGGTTTGATTTCTAGAGTGACAATTTAATAGATTGTAGACGACGAGTTTACCTTGCTGGCTGCGCTGGATCGCTGCCACCCTCGATAGTGAACTCATATGTCTTGCCACGCTCCACCGTTATCTCGGGTATTAGCAAATCGTTCAGATACCAGGCAATACCCCAGGAGGGAACGCCTGTAATGGGCGTATAGCCCCGCTTGCCACCAGTGGGTCCAATAACAGCGCGGAATTTGGTCACTCCCTCGATTTTGCGCGTTGGCCAGGGCTTGGGACCGCTCTCGTCCTTCACGTCGTACAAGGAGCTCTTGCAGGCGTGATCGTTCTGTGAATAAGGGATAGTCCTGCTGAGCACAACTGTACTTTTATGAAAGCTGTGCTTTACTTACGCGTGTCGAAAAATTGATGCGTATGTCATCCGGATTGTGATCGCTGGAGGTATGGGAATGGGCGTTGGCCTCTTTGCGACTATTCAGCGGTCCAATGGCTGCTATAATCGAGACCTCTCGATCGGTCGGTATGGCTGCATCGTAAATGGGCTCATTGGTTTGGAGAAGTCGCTTGTAGCGTATACTGGTAACTCCATTTTTACGATCGCCGCTCACTGAGGAGTTAAACAATTAGAAGATTAAGAGATGGTGTCGATTTTTAAGTAACAAAGGGTTCCTGATAATAAGGTTGAGAATTCTCATCCTAAAAAAGTATTCTAGTATAATTTAAAATCAGATCTCGATCTAAGTTGCATTTTTATTAGTTTTCTTAGATTTTTTCGACAACCCGCTCAGTTGTTGCCACAAATGTTCTTCTTCTTTTTAAATGCAAAGAAAACAGTTCCTCAGAATAAAAGTGTCGACATTTTAGGGAGTGCTTCAATTTCAATTTTCAATTAGTCTATTAGGGGTAATAGGAAAGAGTGCTACATACCCACTACCACATCATTGCGTCCGCCAATGCGTTCGTCAGGACACACGCCACGTTGTCCATCACACTGCGACAGATCCGAGATGAAGTAATCCTCGGCACGGAAGACGCGCGCAGTCGTGTCGTAGAAGGCCACCACCACATCGGATTGAGCCATTTGAGCGCGTCCATTGGCGCCCGACAGACCAAAGGCCATGTACTGATCCTCGCTGATGCGGCCGAAGAGCTCGATCTGCAAATACTCGCCCTGGAGCTCCCACTTCACCTGAAGCTTGTTCGGCAGGACTTCGCGGCAGTTGCTGTAGACTGGCCGTGGCGTCGTCGTGGTCTGTAATGGTGGACAAAGGCGAGAAGGACGTGTGTCAGACGGTATGTGAAGTGGTGGTTCTGGGCATGCAGGTTGCTCTATGGGTTCTAAAACTAATACTCACGGGTGTATACCACCATGAAGGCTAATAATGCGGCGCGCATAAGTTAAAGAGATATACAATTATGAGTTATATGAGAATGGGTCTGTTTTCTCTGTAATTTCACAAATGTATGGGTGTGCATGTGTCTGCGTGTGCTAATGTCTGGGGAGAGTGTCTACGACTTTGAACCTTGAGCCTTCAGTGTGGGCGCACTTACCGTTATTTTCGTTTGACCCAACGCCGGGGGCACATCCAAGTCCTTGGGTATGAAGACGTGCCCAAAATTATGTCTGTACTCAACACACCAGACGGACAGCCAATCAATGTTGTAGACGGTCAAGGTACCGGGTAGTTGTATCTCGATATCTTCACCCTGATAGCCGCGTAATGGTTCCAGCGAGCCGATTTCATTAGGGACCTGCGAAGATATTCAGATACTACTATAACATCTGAAGCTATCACTTCACCTTCATATAGCCACTAACCTTAATACCCATAATGTTGGGTTCACTGCCGTTGCCAACCCAGAAGTATGCATCCGGTCCAGCGCCATCGTAGTGCAAATTGGGGCTACGGGAAAACCGACCACAGGTTATTATTTCAACGAAGATAATTATGTGTGACGGGCTGACTTACATGTAAAATGTTTTGGCATCCAAGACACTGATGTTGCTGGAGCGCAGACCATGAGCCAGACGTTTAAATTCGGGCAGTACTCGTGGCTTCGGCACATCTAGGCCCGCAGGTATGAACACTTCCCCAAAATCGACCTAAAAGTAGAATTGAAATTGAACACGATTTGACTGAGCGAAGAAGTGTGTGGTTGATTCTATATTGCTCTCCTTATTCTTTATGGGGCTTAATTTGCGATTAGTGGTTCGAAATAAAAATAAAAGTCGAACTTTTTATTTACATCATTATTGAAATTAGTTTCCTTTGTAACTAAGTACAGGGTGCGCCATCTTTTATGTCGGTATGCAAACATTGAATATCCTTGAAAATAAACAACCGATTTTCAAGTATGAGATATTTTTATTTAATTTGGTTCTGTACAATTTCTTGAACTGAGGTTTTCAATACTGCTCTACTCAAGTCAGTCGGTTCACTAATGACAAAGTTATTCAATATCTACATACCGATATAAAAGATGGCGCACCCTGTATTATCTTTCAACTAACGGTCGATAAAAAAGTCCAATGACTACTTTAATTCTTGTTATAATAAAGATGAGGACTAGAAAATGTGCAGTTCTGTTTCAATTCCAAATGTCCTGCAGAGTCAATACTTTAGTCTTCTACTTTCTGGAGAAAAGCGTATGCTAACAATAATATATTCTTTTCAATCATTTTCTAAGCCAAATTTATGTATATACTTTTCAATATCATAATATTATAATCGTGATGACAACAAATATTAGAATTTCTGCATTGCAAATAATAATCAAATTAAATTTAAATAATTAAGTATATTATAAAAACTACATACATACAAGTATATGGGAACTTATATGGGCAACCGATTTTAGTAATTCTCCAACCTACTATACGGCAATATAAAAACGCTGATAGACTAAATTTTCTTAAGATATATATATGCTATATATAAAACAACAGAGTTTTTGGAGCAAAACTTGATTTTTGCATCGGTTGTTTCTATGGCAGCAATTTGTGATATAATGATTAAAATAACTTATAAGTCGGAAATTTAACCAAGATATCTGAATAATCAAGTGATTTCATACAGCGAACAGACAAATCTGTCTATATTGATTCGTCTCGTCTTACTGATCATAGATAAACTAGTATGTAGCTTTAATATGGGGCTTGTCACGCCATATACGAGTATGCCCTTTTCTCCTCTTGTTATGTGCATATTTTTGAAAGTACTTTAATTTTAATCTTACTGATAATATAAGTACTCGTAGGAACCTTTAATATGGAGTTTGCCATGAGTATGCCCTTTTCTCCTCTTGTTATTTGCATATTTTTCGAAAGTACTTCAATGTTGGATTCAAGTCTATTATTAAGTCTTACTATATAGCTGATAATGCAGACTGTTAGCAGTTCCAATCACATTCAATTAATCGGCCTTGCATGCCAACAGGCCTCAGACGACATGCTTTTTACAAAATATGCACACATTTTGTTGTTGTTTTTGTTGTTGTTGTTGTTGTATACGAAAAAGTACATAGAGTTGTAATTGTATGGGTGTGTGTTTGTGTGTAGCCTCCAAAAAATGACGATGCGCGCGCAGAAACTCCACAAACACAAGCACTTACACACACACACACACACACACACACACATGCATACATCTATAAAATGCTAGACATCCCCAATGTGGGTGACTGTGTGTGTGTGGGTGTGTGGCAGTCAGCCCCCAAGAACTTTTTTGGCTGTCAGTCAATGGAAGGAGCCAACAGAGAGCGCGCGTAACACTCACACATTGCCAACAGTTGTCTCTCAATGCGGCTCTGTCTGTGTGTGTGTGTGTGTGTTTTTGTGTGTCTTATAACAGTAACAGTAACAAGGAGGGCACCCTGTATTTTGGCGCTCATACTTAATGTTGTTTTTGCTTTGTTGGTTTGTGCATAAGAGAGCCCTTGCGACTCTCTCTCTCTCTGCCGCCCACTCCCCAATACCTCCCACCAATTGCTGCTCCAGTCTGCGTTTCTTTATGTGTGTGTGTATGTGGGTGTGTGTACGTAGGTAGGTGTGGGTGGGTGGGTGTGGGCGTGTGTGTTGGTGTCTGTATTTATATGCAACCACTTGAGTTAATCAAAAATGTCTGCTGTAATTTATTTTACTACGGACGCCATCTTTTATTTGGTCATGCAGCGCTCTCGCTCGCACGCGCTGCTAAACTCCTTGTTGTTGCTGCTGCTGCTCGAAGTTTTGCAACAATTTCTATTTGCTCTCGTTTCTATTTTTCCCGTTTTTCGTATTTAAATGCACATTTTAGCAAAAGTAATTTACTACTCAGTCCGTTCGTCTGTACTTATGTTTGTATTTATGTAAGTCTGTGTGCGATAGTGTGGGTTGGCGTGTGTGTGTGCATGTGTGTGTTTGTGTTTGTAGTGGTGGAGGCAGAGAAAAGCATAATTTGTGTATGCTCTGAAAACGGGCGCGGCTTTTGAATGTGTAAAAAAGTCTGGCAACAAAAAAATATTATTATAATTAAAAATTCGCGAAAAGTTTTTCCGGCACTTCCGGTTGCCAATTGGTGGCCCACAAGCATTATCTATGACCCACATTAACGATGCGGCAAAAACAAAAATCGATTGAAACATTTCCCATTTTTCTTTTTTCTTCAATTTTGTTCTTGTTGTTTTCTTCTGTTTTGGTCGTTGCTCTCTAAACCTTTGCCGTTAAATTTCAAATTAGACGAGAAATGTAATTACAAAGCGGCTGGAATTATTTTTTAATATAAATCTATGATGAGAAGCGACGAAGGGCGCACACGGCATGTGACCAAGAAAGTGGAATCAAGTTGAAGTAGAAGAAGACTTACCGTAAAACGTCTGCACCACACTGACAGCCATCGAATGTCCTTAATCCTTTTGCCCATGGGTAAACGCAGTATGATGTCCGTATTGTTGTGCGCCTGCAGAATGGGTGGATCGCTGTGGGTGGCAAAGAAAAGTGCAGAGTAGAAGAGATGAGCACAAGCAGAGGGCGTCCCGAGTTTAATTTTGTGGTCATGCGATTGCAGAGCAATAAAAATGGACTTCATCCAAGATGAAATGCGTTAGTCTAGCAATACTACCAACTACGCAATACCCTCTACTATTTCTAAAAAATTGCTTTTGACTGCAGGGTAAGTGTAAGGTGCCTTTTACAGATCATTAGCTTCATAGATGATAATTATAATTCTTGAGTGTGTTTATTTCAATACTACCATATAATCTTAATAATTGGAAAGATCTTAAATAAAGAATAAAGATTTTTGTGTTTGTTTTAAAGTATGAATTTGTCATTTCTTCTTATAATAGTTTGTCAGTCATATGTATATTTAAACGCTATACTTATTAAAAACTCTACATACTGCATTCCTTTTATAACTTTTATTTAAATTTGATTATATAACTACTCGTACATCATTAAAATGCTATTTAAGCCTAAATCGTTTAAAGCACATATTTGTTGGCTTCGTTAACAGAACTTTCTCTCATATAATAATTCGAGTTCTTGGTCAGCTCGAATAACAGCCATGTATGAATACACATAACTTAGATGATTATCGATAAGGCTATACTTCAAGATCTGCTGCATTTCAAAAAACATTAACTTTATTTTTTAGGAAAACTGCGATAAGAATTTTATAACAATTTCGTTGCGTTGAAATTGAAGTCAAATATTTCTTATAAAATTTTAAGCCTTTTTCTAAGCGTGTACATCATCACTATTCACCTATAGTTTATAATTGAAGCCAACTAATACAACATTTATGGTAGTCGTATATTAATATTATTATAGAAGAGTTTGGATTTAGGAAAACAAAAAAGAAAGTCGCTTTTCATTTACGATTTACTTAAAAAATGACTCATTTCTTTTGTATGCTTTCGATGTTGTGGGCCGAGTTTCTGCTACAAATGTTCCATTTAATATTAAATGCCACTTAATAACATAAGACTAATATACTTCTCGAGTGTACAGAGTATTCTTAAAGCAAGCAACTAAGTATATACAAGTATGTATGTATAGTCCACTTCGGCAAACTCGCTAAGCAGCGCTTATTAAAAAATTCTCAGGCTGCCGTTTGATGAAGAAAGCCAAGTAGTTTGGAAAAATGAGTGCTTTGGCATTTTCAATATTTAGTTTCGATGTCGTTGCCATTAACATTTAAGCGTGACCAAACACAGAGTATCATTATAATTGCAAAATTAAATCGAGCTTTTTTCGTTTTGCTCGCGCTTTTATTCAGTTTTTGCTTGCTGGTTATGCGCATTATTCATGAAGCTGGCGCTCTGATGAAGATTTATTGCTAATGCAACGATGGGACGCAATGCACACATCGCTGCACGCACACACACACTCACACATAAGACCACCTATGTATACATACATACTCCTATGTACAAAAAATATATACGCATATGAAAATGCCTGAAATTGTAATTTTTTACACCATGACAGAATGAATTACGTTACGAAGTTTACGTTAATTAGTGTGGGACCATTTGTAAGCGTTTGCTCAAAAAATGTTGTAAGCTTATATAATTGAATGCATTTCCAGTGCAATAATAGGCCGTTAATGCTGGATAGTTGTAATGCAATATAAGGCATTAATTGATTTCCGAGGCCTGGCGCAGATACCAAATAGCTCGAAATAGTGCTTGACAGTTACAATATTCATTACTTTTTCCATTTAGTGTTGGTGAAAGAGAATTACTTACATAAATTAACTGCGCTAGTGTGAGCGATACTCAAAAGGATAATGCCGAGACACTTCTCTAAATTCAAACTAAAGGTATGGATTCAATTGAGAAAGAGAAAAGAGTTGGCTAAGCTTTTAGAAGAAATTCATAATTCATCTCAATTCATCTCAATTCATCTCTACGCTTTTGACTGTATGATTCCATCATTATTTAAATATTATATCAGCCTATTTTAGGTCTCTAAGGTACATCACACCATATACAACATATCGAATTTATAGCAGCTGAAACTTTTTGAAAAATGGTATAAGACTTAAAGCATTGCTTTTCTATCAAAAATCGTTGTTTTTCTTCTCGAAAACAAATTAACAAACCCTTTAAATTTGCATCTAATTTCCTTAACTTGAATGCACAATTCGATTCATTGAGTAAGTCCGTTGTAGTTACATACAGACTAAAGCATTCACCACTTATTATTAATTACTCCAGAGGCCTTGAACGCATCAAAGCGAGAGCTACCAACTAATCTCAGGTTCTACCATATTTAGGCAAAAGTAATCAAATGAAGCTGTAATTTCAAGGAAGCTTGAGGCGATTAAGTGACGTAAATGCTAAACAAATGAAAATATGTTGTAAAATAATTTAGATTTTGGGCATGTGTTTTAAAATTTCGATGTAGCCTTGAACTTTTGGGCAATAAAAAAATCTGTGGTTACCTCAACAATAAGCTTTTGAGCAGTTGTGAGTGTCCCGATGGTAGTTACTGGCTCAAGACCATTGGGACTACCAGATATTGAAGCTGTACAATAATTGTGTAGCACAGAGCCCATTGACTATGCAATTGTATACATTTTAAGAGAATTCAAAAACAATCGAAGAATCGAATAGAACTACAAGACTAAAAATTAAATTAAAATTAAATTCCACCCAAATTCGTCAAATGTGATTGAGTTATGCTAGTTTACTGAAAACTTATAAGCATTCTATTATCAGGTGTGATTTTCTGCTACAGCAATGTGCTTTGCACTTTATTTTTTCTAGCTTATTTGAGAAATAAGACAAATTTCTATATAAGCTTTTATTTAGTTAGTGAGAGCTTTCATTTGGATTTATCTGTATAAATTTTAGTGAAAAGAGTACATGGAGAATGTTCTACAAAATAATAATCATGCCCTTTAATGATAAATAAATATGTATAATAACAAAACTTTCTATAGTTTGTATCCGATAATAATTGAGAAAAATTGCTTTCGTTATAAGTTAAAGCTTCGTTTTTAAAGGTGTTCTGTATTCTGTATAGGATTCTTTTTCGCGACTTTGTATTTTTCCAATTCTGCTGCCAAATAAGTAAAATGAAAGGAAAACAATGCCACCTTTTAAAGCTCTACAATAATGCAAGCAGCCTAACAGTTAAAATCCTTACAGAAGATACTTAGCAATAATGACATAGGTACCCCAAAGGGATACACACAACTCCACAAGAAAAATTTGAATATACCCTATGCGCACGAATTGGAGAAAGAGATTCTTAAATTGTTTGGCAAATCATTTCATTGGCAACAATCTGCACAAGATCATAGCTCGCTACTAAACTCTATTGCTTTGAAACATTTGCTTCTCCATCAAAATGATTTTAATTGCAAAACTTGATACTCCTTAGAAATGCGCATACTGGTATTTCAAGTATTTCACGGTTATGAGAAGCGTGTCGGTCACGTCCCCTGCCATCAGCTTTACAATGCAACGCATTGGCCATATTATTAATAATGAACTGTCTGTCTGTGGAAGAAGAGCCCAAGAGGGTTGTCTCCATGGAAAATCAGTCAACATAGGCATATCATACAGCAATAATCAGTTGGCTACGGGTCCATATTGGCAGAGTTCCGTGCTTGGCAGGCGATGGATGGATGGATTCATGAATGCTGCAGACAACCACTAAGGGTTGAGAGGGTGTGTTTTGGTTTGGTTTTCTTTTTTTCTTCTATTTTGTTTGTAACGCACAAGAAGGCATCTTGAAATGAGACTAATACACATGTGTTAAAGCCAAGGATGTGAGTATGGGTGTGTGTGTGTGTGGCCTTTGTTGTGAATGTGGCACAAGTGTCAGTCATGCTCTAACAAGTGTCGGCAGCCACGACAACCAGCCGAGGCTCAATCGACATTAGACACGGCTGAGCACTTAATTTTCACCCTTGAAATGACGTTGACAGCGAACCCTTGGCGAGATTTTCGCTTAGCCTGCAACAGTTGCAGTCACTGGGCCATGATTGCTGGCCCGCTCGTAATGAGCCAAAACAAATTGAATAGTTCTGTGTCAACAGCCGCGAACCGCAGAGCAAAAATGTATCTGTTAGATACACCACACACACACAGACACATACATAAATATTCTTATAATCATTTGGAGCTGTCACTCGACGTTGAATCTCTTGCTCTGTGCGGCCAAACGTCTCCGGGGCATTTGATGTACTTTCATCGAATTTTGTTTGCTTTTGACTTCTGTTTTCGTATCGCAAATATTTTACTTTATTTGATTTGATGGCAGAGTCTTCTGGGGTGGTTGTGCCCCCCCTGCCCTTGCCCCCAACGCTGCTCGACATTCATTGATGCACTCAACAAACTCATCGATTTTATTTTACTTTATTTTATTTGATGTGATTTACTACCAGTTTCAAACACATAAGCTTCTTCGTACTTTTGCCCAATTAGTTTGAAAGCACATTGTGTGTGGGAGTGTTTGTTTGTATGTGTGTGTGTGTGTGTGTGTGTGTGTGTATAGGCTTGATCTATATTTGTTCCTCCGTTCATCTCCCTGTCTTTTTGATGCTCAGTGTGTCTCTGAATCGCCACTCAGCTATATACATACATAAATGCATAGCTCTGACTGCAGACACAGTTCACTGTGTCATTGTGGTTATTGGCTAAACATTTCAAAGAATTTAACTTGCAATACTTGTTGCACACAATCAGACGCCCGCTCACTCTCACACAAGCCTTGCTTTCTTTTTTTCTTTTTTTTCTATTTTTGCTAAATTTGCTCTCTGTGCATGAATTTTACATTTGCTTAGTCAACATAAATTGCACAACAATGGAGCCAGACAATAAAATACGCAAGACTGGCATGGCACAGAGCGCACAATAAAACAGAAAACAGCATGGAAAGAAGGGGAGGAAAGCGCGGCAACCCCAAAAACTGTTTTAAAATTATTATGAATATTTAATTTTTGGTGACAGCTCAGCGGGAG